GGGGGGGGGGGCATGAGGAGGGAAGGAGAATGAATCCCAGCACCCTTGTCGGCTTCACTGAAACAAAGGGCCCAGGGCACAGGCTAGTTCCGAGAGAACAGAGCATGGCTCAGTCCTTAGCAGTGGGGGTGGGGTCTTCTTCTGTGGCCCTAAGTTATGCAAGGAGACCCATCTCTTAGGGGACAGGAAAGAGTCCTTCAGACCTGGGACCCATGAGGGTTTTCCCCGGAGGCTAGCTGGTCTGTCCCTCTGGATGCCAACCCCATTTTGACAGGAAGAGTTAGCCTGGATACACTGTGACCCTCCCCTCTTCCCAGGACCCTGAACGAGCCAAACCAGAAGGGTTTCTTCAGCCTCCTTTCCCTGAAGGCATCTTCCAGGCTGGCTGGGAAGGCCACACAAGAAAACACAAACTCCACTTTCACCTGGGAAACTCCTCACCCCGGAGACCCTGCCGGGCTCTCCTCACCTCAGTAGAAACCCAGCAGAAAGAAAAAGAGAAAGACCATGGACAACTGGACCCAGGACACCTACCTGGCAGTGCTGTTCCTGAGCCGTTCTTGGTGAAGGCCTTAAAGAACTGGAAGCAAACACACGGGCGAGAGTCAGTAACACACGGAGCTAAGACCACAACAGCGGTGCCAGATGGATCCGTGTCTAAGACCCTCTACTTACTCAAGGGGGTTAATTTGGGAAAATTACTTAACTTCTGTGAGCCTCAGTTTCCTCATCTGTAAAGGAGAACAGGACGGTTTCTGCCCCTGGGGCTGGACACGGATTCCTGTCTTCCCCGTCTCCGTACCCAATCCCTACCCCCACAGCTCTGATGCACCCAGGGACGCACAGTACTAGAGGCAGACGGTCTCCCTAAGCACCGGCACCCAGCACACCGTGACTGGAAAATATCCGCTGCATGGATGAAAGGATGAGGCAAACCCAACCGAGAAAACAAAGTCACGTCATACTTCCCCCAGAAAATGTAAGCGACCCTCTGAGGCAGTCTGTCCTTAGAGGCTGGTGTCTGTCTGTCCACTGAGAACTCCCAGCCTGGCACAGCAGACACTCCACGAGGGGAGGGGTCTCCAGTTCAGGTCCTGTTGAAGGGTGGGCCGAAGCCCCTGAAGAAACAAGTCTTGTTACAGACAGGCCAATTTAATTCACCACTTCGTCCTCTTTTCCCATTTACGCGGATGACACTCCAGCCTCAGTGTGGAGCGAGAATGACCTCCTTGGGCAAGAGGACAGAGAGAACAGAGGACAATTCCTCAGGATGTGGGCCTCTGTGTAAGTGGCAAGACTGCTGGCAGGGCTCTGGCCTGTGCTCTCCTAGGCTCAAGAGGGAACAAAGTTCAGTTGTCTTGACAGACAGACAGCTACCTAAAGGCCTGTGAGAGAGTCTGCTGGCCAGGAAGAGGCCTCTTCCTGAGGTCCTCCGGGGCCACCTGTAGCTTCCTTTGGGCCTCTGCCTGCAACAGTACGGCCATCCGGCCTTATTCCAAGCTGGTGGTTGAGTACGGGCCCCGTGGTCTACCAGACCTCGATTCTACTACTCTTGCTGTGTGACCTTGGGCAATCCATTAGCCCCCCTCTCCCTTGTCATCTTTAAGATGAGATGACACCATCCACCTTGAAGATTTGCTGTGAGGAGTCAAAGATAACATATCTAAGTGCTTGTGTCTGATGCATACAGTAAGGAACAAATAAATGTTAACTGCATGATTATTACCATCCCCTTCCCTTGTTCCACCTCTTAAACACTAGGAAACACTGACCAGCTAGCATCTGTTTATTCCAGCCATTTGTAGGCGGAAAACTAACAGGCCACCTGCCCACCCTCCCACATGAGGAACAACAAAGATGCACAGAAGCCACCCACCTCTTCCCATCTACAACCTTCTCCTATTCCCTCTGACCTCACCTGGCTCCTAACTCCTGCTAACTGCTTTATCCTCTTTCTTTCTCGACCATTAATATGAACTTTTATTCTAGGTGAAAACCATCCACAGATACACGCCACATATATGTATTTTTATTTTTCATTTTTAAATGTTTATTTTTGAGAGAGAGAGAGAGACAGACAGACAGACTGTGAGTGGGGAAAAGGAAGACAGAGAGGGAGACAGAGAATCCGAAGCAGGCTCCAGGCTCTGAGCTGTCAGCACAGGGCCTGATGCGGGGCTTGAACTCATGAAATGTGAGATCATGACCTGAGCCAAAGTTGGACGCTTAACTGACTGAGCCACCCAGGCGCCCTGCCACATATATGTATAATAATGTTCTTTGCAGTTATTGAACAAATTCTGAGTGAAATTATACGTTATCCTAACACTTGTAAGAACAATCACAAAGTTCCTGAATTGCGATGGGATCGAGTAGAGAAAGCATGTTAAGGCATTTATGGACCGTCACTGCTACGGGTGTTATTTTCAGTCATGAGAAGTAGCGTGGCAACTTGTCTTCATCAACCACCAGGTCACCCAGGTCTGAGCAGGTGCTTTATTAAAAGGGGCTGGCATGTTACCTCCATCAAAAGGCACCCTCCCTGGACCCCAGCGGAGCCTTCTAAAGGCCCCGGCCATGGGCAGCAGGGAGTGAGACGGGAGCCCCAGCAAGACTGACCCAGGGGAATGCAGGGACCCAAGACACACCCCCAGGAAGACCTCCCACGTCCCTCCACGTGCCCCTGTGCTACTACACAGCCTTCCCTTCTGTCCTCAGATGCCTCCCATCTACCTTCCAGAACAATGTCACCACTGGGGCTCCAACTTCATGCTCTTAGGAACTTTTTCCGATCAACTCTTTCCATTTTCTGCCAGCAACTTCCCTAAGCCTACAAATAGACTCCAATCCTCCTAATTTTTCTTTTAAAAAAGGGCAGGAAGGGAAGTGGGATGAGAATAGAGAGACACCCTCCTTCCTCCTCCAGTTACTGCATTTCCCGTTTTCCTAGCACTGCCAACTTTCCCAAAGCAGGGTCCGCTCTCCCTCTCCGGCTGCCCCCTCACTTCACTCCCATGCTGTGGCCTGTGGCCTATGCCCCCACTGCTCAGCTGACCCCTTTGGCCAATCCAATGACCTCTCCAGCGCCTCCTTGCTTCCTCTGCAGTGTCTGCTTTGCCCCCATGGCCAGGTTTTGCCACTTTTTTGTACCATATATTCCTGACATTCTCCTCGTTGCCTTCACATTGCCATCTCCCTTGGTTTGCCTGACACCGACCAGGCCTTCTTCGCCACTTTCACAGCCTTCCCTTCACCCTGGTCCTAGCCCCGCCCTGGACTCCTGTCTCGTGTCCCCTGCCCCCACCATCTCCTGTACCCAGTCTCCAGCCATGCATCAGCT